TCACGGTGAAAAACATGCATTTAAGCTTCATGCACGCAGTTTGAGGTCGGTTACTAAGTGGGTTCTTAATGTGGCTGGAACAGTTGCTGCCAGCGTACACAGATGACCGAGTTTGTCCTCAGTTTCCAGACAGTAGCTCTCTAGTTGAAAGATAGTAGTCTGTGAACAAATGTAACAGAATTCCTGTACAGATTTCCTGCATTTTTGATGATTTGTGCCAAAGTACTGACATACATGATCACCGAGATTCGACAGAACATACTGCTTCCAAAGTGCCTATCGAATATTCATCGTATTTACGGGATCTCACCGGTTGTTTGATCGTCCCTTATAGTATTGTTCAGTGAATGTTTCGTCACGTGCTAATGATTTAGAACACAAACTACATAAAATATGTTTAGGCGTTTCACTAAATTCACTCCCACTGAGTACGGTATTTAACTGGGAATGGGTTGTAAAATCTCTATTTTATCTAAAAAGCGCAAATAAATTCATCTCGATTAATAATTATTCTCACTCTATAACCGTTGTTTAGTCATAGAGGAGAGCGCGGAAATCATCTCAACCCCACACCCGAGCTGTGAAACTGTCACATAAACCACGGAGGCGTTCAGTTTTGAAGTGAAAAAATGAAAGTTTCTAACGAATAATCGTGTGTACAATCAAAACTCGTTTACAAATGAAGTCATTTCCTCACATAAAAGTCTTGATTGAAACTGGAATATTATTGGTAGCGATAAATTACCATAGAAACATGTATACCGTTTATAAAGGAAAGCGCTACGATCGATTCGTGCAAAGAAATGACCTGGATACCGTAATTCTCGTCGGTTTATCGATCACAGGGAGCTGATTATTTGTCAGTAAGAAGTACTATTCATTTTCAAACTATTTAGCTTGCGGTTCGCATATAGAGGCTAACGACTGTTAAACAATTGCAATTGAGCATTCGTGGATAGTCATTACCCACTACATATACTAGTGAGCTGATAGTAGAAGGATGTTGTTAACACTTTTCCGGTAATATAGTGGTACATTCAGAGAACTCTAGACGGGCGTATCGTAACCCTGTTCCGACAGGTAGACACAAATAGTGCGCGCTATACATGAATCTCAACAACAGAAAAATATGTTATCAACGCCCTTTGTTTTCAATCACATTCACAAATAACAGAGATTCCTTCCCATAAAATATTGCGGTAACTGTAAAATGGAAAACAATTTTAAGTTTTCCTAAAAGCATGGTGACTTTTATTAAAAGAAAGGAATTTTACGAAATATTACTAAGCCAAGTGCCGCTCGTAATGTACAAAATACATAAATGGTGCCATGTATGGGTCAGGACCAAACCAGGGCTTTTGATCACGTCATCAAATTAGATGTTTTGCTCGGAAATCTCAGTGTGAAACCATTTTCCAGCATTTTTCAATCAGTCGGTGACATGATGGGTGCATTTTTTTCTGAGATATGAGCGTAATCTCATGGGAGTTCCAACAATTTACATAGGGATAAAATGGACGTGCATCCTTGTTTATTTCTCAATTTTAAGGCTAGTCTGGATTACCAGTTGCAAATGCCACATGATTTAGTGTATCATCTCAACGCTCCGAATAGCAATCTGAAACGGTCTTCCATGCTATACTCGCACTTTCTTCAATTGAATATTGTTTGTGCACCCCATATCGGTTC